CTCGCAGAACATACAAAGATGCAAGCCTCGTTTGCAGCTCTCACCCGCCTTCGCAAACTTACATCCTGCCTGCAAGTTAAAATTCCAACACAGGCGCTTCTTGGTCTTGCTACAGTTATGCTTCAAGCGTGAGTCGGACAACACATCAGGACACTTTCCTTTGCCAGTGCCTTTATTGGGACGGTGGGGCAACTTTGGCTTGCCATCGGCATCGCGCTTGATGCCCTTTTCGCCTTTTCCATCGCCCTTCCACTTAGCACCGGGAAGCGGGGCCAGATGCATCATGATTTTTGGATCATACTGAAGCTTGTCCAGCGCGGCATCCATCGGTAGATTACCGGAATCATCCTTCTTAAGAGAAGTCAAGAGCTCACTCATGCGCACCCACGCCGCCTTGTCGCACCTGAGCAGCTGCTCCATCGAAACCTTGGCATAATAGGGAGGCGGCTGTTCCGACAGCTTGGCAAGCAGATGCCTGTGCCACATGTCCATGGAGGCAAACGTGCAGAGCTGCAGAAGATCACAGGCAAGTGCCCTACGACACAAGGCTTCGGAGAGCTGCAGCTCATTCTGAATGCCACACTTATCCTTGTGGGCTTTGTCGCGGACACTCATACGCGAACCCTCATCTAAGATCAGCTCCTTCCCCGGCTTCTCTCTATTCACTTCCATGGCCCTGGTGAGGAACCTGTGGGGCTCCAGATAGGAAAGGCAATCCTGATCAACGACCTGAGCGACATAAGTGTAATTGCTGAAAGCGTTTTCCAGAGGGCCCGTCAAGCTGAGGCCGATGAGCCTTTTGCGCTGATCGGCCAGGCGATTCGCTCGCTCGGCAGGAGCCAGCTCGGCTTTCCTTTCACCTTCACCCTCAATCGAGCTCTTGAGCTGTGCGATCGACAAAGTTTGAGCTTCAAACATGAGCCCCCCCCCCCGACAGTGCACGCAACGGCACAGTTGTGGGGTCCGTGGGGTCAAGGATGGACCTGAGTTCAGCTTCCTGTGGCACTTCGCCCGGGGTCGAGACGCTGAAGGCAAGGAGCGACAAGGAAGTCAGCCCCTTACGCACAAGCACATCGAGCTCAGCTTGCGCCAGACCACATTCTTTGGCCCTTTCTTCAAAAGCCGCTTGACTCTTCAAGATGGACGCCATGATGAAGAGTCGGATCCTACACGTTCAGAACTAGCATGACCGCAAGTGTGACATGCCCTAACTCAATTGACAAATCACTCCCGCAAGGGTATTTCCAGCATGTCATGTACATGGTCCCGCAAGGTGTCTGAGCCGTCCTGCATGTGATCACAAACAGTGTCCCGCACGCACTCACAAGAAAAAGCGCTGCAGACAATCAAATAACCTCGGGGCCTCAAGGCTCATGGGGACCTGACTCCGAAGCACCACAGCGCAGACTTTTACTCGGACCTCGGAATCTTCTTCAATCGCTCGTCAAGGCAGTGAACCAAGGACCCTAAGTCCCTGATGGGCTTGCCCTTCCAGCATTGCTTGCAGCGCCAGTGCGCCGCTTGAACCGCCGACGTGAACGGCTTGTGGTTCGCCGTGATATCACGGCCACATATAAAACGCTCCATGGAGCTTCCCGCAGGCTTGACATGAAGAGTCCTTGTATTCTTCTGCTGATAGACAGGGCATCGATCGTGATACCTCTGCCCCACTGTGGGATCTGCCTGACTTGCAGTCAGGACTTCATCTAGCTCGCTGTCAGACGAACCTGAATCAGAACTAGCTAGACGAAGAAGAGCCCGGCTCCTCCTCCTGAGATCCACTGTCCCCGAAAGCAGCATCCGGGTCCTCCCAAGCGGCACGCTCTGCATTATGGATCAGGGAGTCCACAGCACGGCCGAAAGGGGTGTCATCGTCACTGGCATCCTTCTGATCTCCGAAACCCGGCTCGGAGGCAGGAACACCTGCACTCGGAAGGGCTTCCGAGCCACACGCTGAGCCAGGACTAACCGCAGGCCGGTACCAGTCCCTTTCTGCCTCAGTCTCGAACACACTGTCGACTGGCAGCTCCTCAGCCGAGCCGGCAGCGACAAGGCCCTTTGCATAAAGACCTGACCGGGTCATGTCCGGAAGATACCTGCCACACCGAATGTCGCAGTACATTTGACAAAGCTCCCGCAACGGTCCCGCTTGAATGTCTCTGGAATAGGTTACGACAGACCGCCGATCCTTCAAGGAGTGGTGTCCCAAAATGGTGCAGGAGTCCTTGGACATGTCCGTCTTGCTCGCCCAGGACAGGGCAGTATGCTTGCACGAGTGACCCTTGAGATCAGTCCCCATGCTTGAATCCCCAGACTGAAGGATCGAAGAAATCCAGGACACAAACCTGCCCGTCGGAATCCGACGACCGCTCCATGACCCATTGAGCATAGGTGACTGCAGCAGGGGCAGGCTGCAGGCTCCAGTGGCGATCGGATGGCCCGACAAGCGCCACACCTCAACCCAAGCTTTAGCCCAAAGACCTTGACCCACACCCCGCTCGGGGGACACTAAGCTCAACTCAAGCCCCAACGGGTTGCCTGTCGATGCACACTTATGGGACGTTGAGATGCACTCAAGGAAACCCTCACCTTCTGCAAAATCGATGGTCATCATCTTGACTGCCCTCACATCCCCTACACGGGCTCTAGAGTGAATGCAGAACAAGCAAGCACCAGCGGCATATCTATCCCTTGCATCACGGCGGCTGTCCTGGACGAAAGCTTCAAGGTATGCTACCTCGCGAACCTGAAAAGGCCTGGCTTGCACACGAGGCGGGCGGTTGAACCGCACCTTGCGAAGACGCCCTTGCACAAGCGGGTGCTTGTGAGGATCTCCAATCGCTTCCACACCCAAAATGAATCTAGCAAAGTTACAAGCTTCGATGCAAGATCCAAACACTGAATGCGAGGCCCCGCTCTGCTGCAGATGCTGGGTGTGTTCGATCAACACCTGAGAGTCGATCGGGAAAGCTGACATGCCCTGGTTCGAGCACCATCCCACCATGCGGGCGAGACTGGACAACCGCTTCTTCAAAGTCGAGAGGGCCTTGCCACCCAGGGATTCGGCAACAAGACTGATCCGTTCTGCTTCGCACTTGTCCTTCAACAGTCTGCCAAGGGAGGAGCATTCGTATGCGTGGCTCAAGAGAACATCGTATCTTGCTGCAAGCAATTGCAACTGTTGCTCTTCAGTTTCTTGAGGCCTCTGAAATTTCCTGGCAGAGAAGGCGACCTGAACAAACTGTGAAGCATGCTCTTGGGGGTGAGCCTTGGCGGAGGCCTCCTCGAAAGAAGCGGAGTCCAAGGGTTCCGTTTGTAGAGGAGCCGGCACACTGCACTGAGAAAGGGAATTCAAGTTGCCCTGCGAGAAAACTGCTTTCATCGTCCCTCGCTCCCAAGGCATTTTAAGGGAATGTTTCGACACATGTTTGTCTGCAGCAAGCAACAGCCTATCGAGCGGTCGCGCCATACCCCAGAAAATGCGGGCGCTCACTGACCCTGGTAGAGTCGACTGAGGCGGCCACGACTTGCACGCACCAGCTCGGAAATTGTGCTGAAAATGCTTCTGATGGCTCTGCAAGCAGCACGCAAAGGCAACAAGTTCTGCACTCCGACTGCCAGCAAGATGTGTGAGCTGGCTGAAGCTGCGCCTAAGAACTGCAAGAGACCTAGGCGAAAAGGTGGGTCAGGCCGCAGGATCGCGGACTCCCAGCCTCTCAAGGTCAAGCGCTCCCACAGCCAAAGAATCAGGAGGCGTCGCAAGGCAAGAGGCGGGCGCTGCGGCCGCCGTTCCATGCACACCCGGCTCTCCGGGAAGCTAAAGCCTTGCGTAAGGGGCCTGGGAACCTGTTACACGAAGGAACAAGCCTCTAGAGGCCCCGACAAAAATTTTTTATAACCAATGTGACTTCATGTGTCATGCGGGCCTTTCTTTAAGTCCACTCAAATATGTCTTTCAATTACATATATATTAAAAGTGGAAATGAGACCTGTTAGAGAGCTTACGAGCCTCAGAAATAGCAGCACTCGGACAAACTACGCTCGACAGAATCTTTTCTTTCGGTATGGCAAAGCCTCTCGGGGAAAGAAGTGCATGCTCATGATCCCCTTCGGGATCCCATCACATGTTGGCACTTCGCCAACAGCCCCTCCGGGCTCGTAGAAAAGTTATGGGGCATCTTTCACCCCGCAAAGTTTGGGTGGGAGTGGTGGGTACAAACTTTGCTGCACGGAAGGTTCCCGCCCACCCACCCTATGTTTGAGCATGCGCGGAACAACAAGGATTCGTAAAAGTTCAAGTGGAATCTCATGACACATGAAGCGGTTTCGAAAAACTTCTTCAAAACTTTCGAAACCTACCAAAAAGGTTATAAAGCCTTATGGGACTAGTTTGTGATTTTTAGCGTCCCAAAAACGGCTTATAACCAATGTGACTTCATGTGTCATGCGGGCCTTTCTTTAAGTCCACTCAAATATGTCTTTCAATCACATATATATTAAAAGTGGAAATGAGACCTGTTAGAGAGCTTACGAGCCTCAGAAATAGCAGCACTCGGACAAACTACGCTCGACAGAATCTTTTCTTTCGGTATGGCAAAGCCTCTCGGGGAAAGAAGTGCATGCTCATGATCCCCCTCGGGATCCCATCACATGTTGGCACTTCGCCAACAGCCCCTCCGGGCTCGTAGAAAAGTTATGGGGCATCTTTCACCCCTGCACTCTTTGCCCCGTGACTTTGAGAACTCTGCCGCTGATGAAGCACACAATCCGATCTTCAAAGTACTCGCCGAACACAGGGAACCTCCAGTCGGACCTCGAAGGCCCATCGCCTGGATTCGACTTGCTCGGGACTCGAGCGAACCACGAGATCGCCGGTCCCAGCGAGTCGGCACACTCGTAGTGAAGCAAAATGCTCCTCCATAGATCATCGCGTGAAGACCCTTTGATCATCGCAGACAAAACTCCACTGTGGTCCACGTAAAAGACGACCCTCTGATCATTCAGAAAATCTTTCCAGACATGTCGGGCCGTCGGGCCGCCACCACCGCGAAAAGCTCGGTAGGACCTATCAAGTGTCTCTTCCCCAGTCCCGCCCATTGCTCGACGACTGATTCGTCCAGGTAGCACCCGAACGCCCTCGTCTCATAGGAACCAGTTGGAAGCACCCGATACATGACACCTCCGATTGAGCAGCTAAACTTGTCGCCCAGCTTGTCGCATGCACCATCAGTGAAAACGAGAGTCTGGCCGCCAACGGGAAGAACCTGGATCTCGCGTGGCCGGCCCTCAAGCATCCTCTCCCTCAAGCTTCTGAAGACAGTAGCGTCCAAAGAAGATAGAACGTGACGGTGACGAGCACTCGAAAGCCAGCGAATCTGAGCCAAAGCCAAGCGTCCCTGTCGGCCCATCAACTGACTCTCCGAAAACTGTATCCGGCCAAACAAAGAGGGGATCTGCTTTGGATCAATACAGCCATCCGCAAGGATCTTGTCGATCGAAGAGGCAATTTCCTTGGATCTCTCAGGCTTGTTTCTGACCCTCAGCACTCCGCCCTCCGTGTCAGTCGCGTCCAGTCGGACGCCCAAGACGTCGGCCGTCTGCGAGAAGGGAAGGTCCTTGTCGCTCGCCCAGTCAACTCCAAAAAGTCGCAACGCTGCCTTCACGGAGGAATCATGGTTCTCAGCAAGGGCCCTGACCTCCACCGACGGAAAATCGTCGAAATAGCTCGCCGCAGCGAGCTTCAGCTCCCAGAGAATCCTTTGCCACAGCCTCGAAAACCTGTTGAACTGCCCGACCGAAGCCAAAGCCCCGAACGGCAACACGCGGCAGACGAATCCCTTTGTTAAGCCGTCCGCTGGATCCTTCAAGGTCACCACGCACATCCGGTGGTGTTCTGGCCGGATAGCGAACTGTTTATAAGCTGAGCGCAGATCCGTAGTCTTCAAGACCGGCGAGCAACGACGGGTGTCTTGCTGCCAATACGAATGCAAAGGACCAGACAAAACAGAGCCGTCGGACTTCCGGAAGAAAACTTCGCGTCGGCCCAAGCTGGCCCTCATCAAAGCCATACAGGCCCAAGTGATTTCATCAAGCGCGCGCAAACCTATCCTTTCCATCACTGTCCAAGCTTGATTGACGGCATTTTTTTCACACTCAGCGTCCTGTCCCGAAGGTCGCCTAGAGTAGGCCTAACAGGCTTACAGCCCGGAGACTCAAGGTCTCAGCCATGTCCGTGCCTAAGCACCAAAAGCAACACAGCAGATCACACCCGGTGTAGCACCCAAAAGCGATGTGATCATGCAGCAAACTACAGAAAGCGTAAAAGATTGCACTCGTGTGCACGACACACAAGTTCAGTAAGACTACAGAAGACACTACGAGAAAGGACCGGGCAACTCGTTACATCGCCAAGTCACAACGACTGTACAAATCACGGTACCTACTTGGAACGAGTACAGGCATTAGCCGGAAGTCACTCAAAAGTCAAGCACTACAGAACTACAGCAAGGCGCAGCACTCTAGAGTTACGGCTCACACTACCGCAACGTGGTCTCACTCATCTCACTGGAAAGCAACGGCTGAAAACCCACCTGCCGTAGGAATTGCATCTCGCCATCACTCAAGTCTTCCGGAGTTTTCATATGAAACACCGCGAGTATCACACGAACGCCAGTCCAGTGAAGAGTGCCATGCAGCTCACGTGAGTCGAACTCCAGAAAAGGTGGAGTCACCGCATGAGCCAGCCCTGGCAGATCAGTGCCCGGATAGCAAACATCCCCTGAAGCAGCATTGTAGCACCATAATTCACCGCCAGAGAAGCGGCTCAAGGGTATAAGCAAGTTGTTGCATGAAGGATGATTGTTGCCATCACGATGTATGCCAGAATGCACATTCCGCAAAAGCGTAAGCGAAGTGAAGTGGTAATCCTCAGCCCCCTCGCCAAGCAGAACAGAGTGCACAATACGACAAAGCAGTGCAGTGACCCATGGCATCTGAAGCGCGTTGCTACGTACGCCGACCAAGCCACCAGCCTGAAAAGCACCTGTGGTGAATGAGAATCCACCATCCAGAAGTGTTTGATGTCCACGTGGGCTGTCATGTGGAAGTAGGTCCCACAACGAAGATAGCTGATCCTCAAAGAAGCTGCCAACGCGTAGAAAGTGCCTGGCCATGCACTCCGCGGTGTGACTAGGGTCAGGCTCGATCAGCGGCAGACTGGGAGTACCTACATAGAATGACAAACGCAGCATGAGCGGTCCATCATCCACACTGTCATCGCGAATGTATTCCACTGTATGTGCAGAAGAACTGGACTGCCCATCGGAATCAAGCACTGTAGGCGATGTGGGCTCATAAGGATCCGGCCAGTCATGATAGTAAAGATTCGCATCAAAGCGCCCCTCCACAAACCAGGGCGCATAGATGGTGGCATCCGGATCATGTGTGCTCGTCATATGTTGAAAACCAGTGCATGCCCAAGAAACCATTGTGTAAAAGATGTAGCTTGCACCGTGATGTATCGCGAAATGTAAGTTCATGCTGGCGCACACGAAAGAAAAGCTGGAACTGGAGTGCACCGGCAAGCATGCCCAGCTGTACAATGTGATGAGTCAAGAGTCACGCTGATGCACGGCCGCACTGAAGACATTAGCAAGCTCCACTGATTTTGCACTGAGAGCAAATCCCCTAGAAAACATGTCACAGCCGGTGGACCGTCACTCACTTCACCCCAGGAGTGACCTGTGCTGGCAGGGCTGTGGGTCCCCAAAATGAAAGAAGATCGCATTCATCCGACCAACAAAGGGCCAGACTCCGTTGTGCGCCTGCATACCAAAAGATAAACTGTACTGGACGAATATGGTGTAATGTCTCCTGAGGCCTTAGCCCTGAACTCTGGAACGGTATTGTCATCGCAATGAAGATCGCCCCCTGCTGCATGGAGCAAGGTGGTATAATGCCCTGCACTCAGATTGGGACCATGATGCGAAATGGCTGCTATCACATCGTAGGCGATCGTGCCTGATGACTGGTCATCATTCCCCCTGAAAAGTGGCATGTGAAGCTGCTTTGGCCAAGTGATCTTACAGGCTCGTTTTCTAATCCTACGTCCCGCCTGTACATATCTAGAAAAGCGCAGCAGCAGAAGAGCTGGTGCGACCTTCAAGGCATGTGGGTGAGCCTGCGTGTGCCAGCAGTGTAGAAGATACTGAGCAGTGTGCACTCGCCCCTCAGGTAGGTCGATTGATATCGCCTGCGTACATCGACCAGCATCAGAGCACTCACACCGAAACCGTCCCGGAGGGTCCTCAATCGTAGTGCGGGCCTCCCACTCTCCTTCAAACGCTGTGATGCCCAAGCGGTCAATGATGTGTGAGAAGAATTCTGCACAATCGTGTTGCATTGCCGGTGACCTCCATCCTCGAAGGGCAAAGTTGAACATCAACTGACCTGCGATAAACACGGGTTGTTGTTGGTGTTGCAGAAGTTTCTTAAGGAAGGTGAGCCCAGCGCTGTTGAAAGAGCCATCAAGCATGGGGTCCTGCACAATGGTCCACAGCAAGCTCCGTATCACTGAGTTCATGTAACAGTAATTGGAAGGGTTGCGCAGGATGAGCGTCCTCATCGAAGCATCTCTGCCAGCTTCTGTACCGCCGGCGACCGGCGAAAGCCCTCCTTGCGTAGTTGTACCCCGCAGAGTTGAAGGGAAGCCTGCCCTTGAAGAGCTTCCAACAGCACGTAGAAGCGGTGCGCCACCTCCTTTCTGAATGACACATCCAGCTGGAACACTACCATGTGTCCTTGCATGTGTTCCGTCAATGGCCGATTCGAGAAGAACGCCGAAATCACCTCCGAGGTCGCGAGAGTTTTCCGCTCCCGCAGGGTGTTGAGGAGATCCTCCGTTGTCGCTGGGGTCTTGTTGCTGTCGACTTGCAAGCAATGCTTCTCGTGAGACCACTCCTGAAACACCCATGCTCCCGAACTGTTCATCCACCCCTCTGCCACAGCCTTGTCCTTCATCTCCGTGGTGAGTCCCTGGAGCACCGCCAGCATCTGCTCCACCAGATTCCAGAAGAGGATTGCACGCAAGCTCACGTGAGCGAACTGGCAGTCCGGTTTGACTACCTCGGCCTTCCACTTCATGGAGGCTTTGATGATCCCCGGTACAATGGACGGAGCTGCTGTCTTGGCGAACAACACCCATCCCGTCGATTGTCTCATAATCTTCAACTGGTCCTCGTGTCGCATGATGATCGAAGACAGGAGTCGCAACAGGTCCTCCATGCTCACCTCCTCCTGTTGCTGCTGTTGGCTGGACTCGGAAACAAAGCGTCTGCCCTGCTGGTGCCAAGGACGCCCTCCTTTGCCGCGCCCTCCCTTTTGGCCGTTGTTGAGGCGGCCCGTTTTGGTTGGGCGGCTTGTCAGGGGCCCTTGCGGAGTCTCCGCGTTGCGCTTGCCCAGGTTGAGGCTCGCGCCGAAGTCCATCAGCGGCCCGCTCTCCGCGACCAGAGACCCGAACACCTCCTGAATCGCCGCCTGTGCTGCACCGGGGGTCATTGCAGTCGCCATCTGCTGGGGGTGCACTCGTTGCCGGGGCAGAGGTATGGCTCAACACGCGCGCCAGGGCAGTCTGTGTAATAGCAGGACAGGTGATGGCATGCCGATTGCGCTTGTTGTAGGTACCGTTGCAAAACTGACACTTAGTTTCAAGCCCCTTTGCCCACGCCGCGCAAAGCAAGTCAACTTTTGGTTGAGCCTGACTCCAAACCACATGGTGCTTCTGGTCAAAGTGTTTGCGCAACCCTCTGGCAGTGCAAGATTCACGACACAACATACACTCCATGTTCCACGCCGGTATGTCATCCTTCGCTGGAATGGTCATGTCCAGCGTCACTGCCGCGTCCTCAGAAGACTCCACCTCGTCAGTGCTCACAATGAGGGCCCGTACCATACTGAGTTGAAAGAGGACCGGACAGGTGTCACGATGATCCGAGCGATCCGCAGCTGTACCCTGACACCACGAGCATGTATGCTTGATAGGCTCGAAAGAGAGACGGCGCCACTGAAGTGTGCGAGCCTGAAACTTCTGGGATTCAGTTTTGTGCACTCTGCCCCAGTGTATCTTGACGTATCTGGAATTGGGCATCCACTGTCTACAGCATGCACAGTGTGAGAGCAATTCCTGCCTTAGCTCGTCCGTCATCATGGACAAATGGAGCGTTTGCACTGGCAGCGTGCCATCACGAGCCTGTTGCAGAACAGAGGGTCGCTCCTCAGGGGCTGACGGTTCCGCCTGTCGTTGACCTTGGCAATGATTCTCTTCGATGTGCTTTTGGAGGTCCGCCCACCTGGCGAAAGGATGCCCGCAACCGCGGCATCGCGGCATGCCGTCAGTGCCATGTTGTTGCCTGTCGAAGACCGTGGGTGCGGCCTCCATGCGGTCCTTGCTGTGCATACGACCTTTGTGTTGTCGCAGGGCAGCATCATTGTCGAAGGATTGCCCGCAATACTCGCAAGTGAGCCTGTTCTGTGTACCATCCGCTTTGCCCTCCACTGCCTCAAGTTTCTTGAAATCCTCCAGCAGCCGACATTCCCGTTGTACAATGTCCGTCGTGAGCCGTACATCTTGTGGACTCAGGGTCTGACGCAAAACAGTGGTGGCTTTGACAACACGACTGTGGACCTGAAGCAGCATCTCATGGATTTGCGGTAGCCGTAACCTCTGGAGCAGATGCAGATCACTCTCCTCGGTGAGATGTCGCGGACTGCGCGCAATGGCCCGAATCTGCATGACCATCAAAACCCGAATGAGATCAAAGGATTTCCTGTTGTATCCCGAAGAAGACAAGGAGTACAGAGTGGCTGGCAGGACAATGGTGCGCCACAGATGCAGCCTCTTGTCGAGCGATAGTGCACGGTGCGACATGAGAGTGGTACGTAGGCGTGAAAAGGCCGCTTGTCCTGCATGTTTGCGATGTTGGGCATTGAGCATCTCGTAATGGCCATATGAAATCACTGCTCCTAAGTAGATGTGGTCACGCTTGAGCGGCCAAGTCCATCTCTCATCGAGAACCAGCAGAGTGCCTTTAGGCTTTTGCGTTTGCGCGTGATTTTGCGCATGAGGTGAGGCACCTGTACCCCCTCCGCCTTGAGCAGACATACGGTTTTATCCCGACTAAGACAGAAACCGAGGTCTTCTAGGATACTGAGTGCGCGTCCCGCCTCAGCACGTGCCTTGAGTAGACCGTCCCGATCCTGAAACTCCCAGCGCAAGTGTATGTCGTCTGCGAATCCAAGCAGGTGCTCTAAGCTCCACTCCGTACCAAGTTGTTGATCCAGTACATGTAGTACATAGGTAAACAAACAGCACCACAATGTTGGTGACAACTTGCATCCCTGACGGATGCCAGTGCTGGAATGATACTGCTCGGATGCATCGGCCTTGTCAATGTGAAAAATCGTATTCTGGGTCCACCTGAGAATCACATCTGTCAAGTCATCTGGCACTTCAAGAAATTGCAGGGCACGTACCAAAAGTTTGCGATCAGCACGGTCAAATGCCTGAGAAAAATCCACACTGACCTGCAGTCCCCCGGCACACGAGGACCGTTTCTGTCCCGCTCGTAGTTCGTACCAAGATCGAGTTTGGGCTCGGGCGGTAGCTCGAACTCTATCACAGTGCTCATAGACCAACGTGAGGGCCTGTTGCGGGGATCTGTTTGCAAGGTATCCAAAGAGCGGCAGCTTGGCAGTTGCCTTCAGCAGATACGGTTCGAGGTGCCTCTTCAAAACACCGCTGACTGCTTTGCCCATGGGGTCTAGCAGCGCGATGGGCCGCAATGATGCGGGATCGTCATTGGCCTTTCCAACTTTATGTCATATGTAGGAACACCAGCCATGCAGCCGACCAATCTTCCGGGACCCACGCCTGATCTTCTCGCCATCCGGAGAAAACCTTATCTTCCATGAATGCAGCAACCGGAGCAGAAGCCAACTTCCAGAAGGCATGTGGTGCACAATGGGGCGGGGCAGCCTTGCTCGCCTGAAGATCACGTAGAGCTCGCTCAATGTCCTGCTGGATGATATTGTAGCTGGAGGCCTGCCCCGATCGTAGCAGGGACCCTGGTGCTCCATTCACCGATCTCCAGAAATCCTGTAGGGCACGGGCTTCCTCGGCCGGTGTGAGCAGCTTGCCCTCCTTGGACCGCAATTGTGCTCGTTTCCGGGCTTGTTTGGGCGCCACTCTCCGAATGAGATCAAAGAGCGCCTGACTGCAACCTGAACGTGTGTGAGCATCCGCTTCCTGAAGCAGCTGTGCCAACCTGGTCCTGCGTAGTTGTCGCGAGTGCTTTTGAACCACACGATGCATTTTCAAGAAACGAACCCTGTGCTTCCAAGCCTGCAAAATCGAACGGAGTCGCCCCACGCGAGAACGATTGGCCTCCTCGATGGACCTGCGCATGAGTCGATAATGGTGCCACATGTCCTTGATGCTGCCGATGTGTTGCGCCCCGGTCCAGGGCGGCGGCAGGCTCTGTGGCCGTTGTACATGAAAGACCTTCCTCCCGACCTCCAGCAGCAGGGCGTTCAGCTTCTTGGGCTCATACTTATCAACATCTTGCAACGCAATGGCGACCTGCTCCGTGTAGCGCTCGGCCAACTGTGGCTGCTCCTTGACAGCCTGTGAAAGGAGACGGCAGCGCCATCGAGGCCATTCAAGCTTCTGCTGTGGTTTCTGAGTCCTGAACCGCCGTACAGAAAATCGTGACCACACCGGGAGATGCCGTCCCCCTTTGCGCCAGCGCGCAACCTGCCAATCACGCAGAAGTCCAGACTTGCAATCACTGTGCTTGTTCTGTCTAACAAACACATAGTCAATGAATGAGCGTCGCACTGGCTTGCATCCCTCATGAACGTAAGTGTAGCTGTTCTTCCTGCCGAATGTGTTGACAGCAAGCAATGAGAAGTCCTGCACAATCGCCACGAGATCCTCCATATCCGGTGAAGGCGTCGTCGGTGTAAGCATGCCCGGTCCTGTGTGAGACTTCAAGGTGGTCAGATTGCAATTGTAGTCACCTGCAGATACAAGAGTGCTGCCTTGTGGGATGTGTCCATATGTCTGTCGAAGGGATGTCCACAATGTAGTGCGTTTCCGCAAGATCTCAGCTTGGTCACCGCTTTGTCCAAGTGCATACTGATACACATTGACAGTGTCTACCCAGCCCCCTGCACACCAAGCCCTAACATGGAGGAGGCGTCCCGCAACAGGATCATGAAATCTAATGTAATCTTGTGGGAACACAGACTTACGCAGCAAAGTCATGACACCTGCATGGGCTCTCTTGACATCCGCGCCTATGCCAGATCCGATGCAGTGATAGCCACGTGTGTCAAAGTCCATCTGTTGCCTGTGCCAGGTCTCTTGAAGAAAGACAATGTCGTAAGGGTGCTCGTCGAGCCACGTGAACAACTCATCTTTGAGGGAGCTGAGACCACCACAATTCCAAGACATGCAGGAGAGCGAAAACTGCGATGAGGCACCAGTGCTTGCAGCGTTGATCCTGGAAGCGCGCCCAGAGTGCTGCGTACCACCTGCCTGATACTGTCCCATGAGAGCATGTAAATCACATGTCTGTCCTCGATACTGTGTCGTGCCATGTACTGTCGCCCTGGCCACAGCACGCTTAAAAGCTCGCTTTCTGTAAAAGGAAAAAGGTTTGCCGCAAGGTCGGCCTGATTCGCCTGTTTTCACGGGGCTTCGTGGTTCCTGATCAACAAGTGCATCCCCGTTCCCAGAGGCTCGGCGGGGCCCCCAACCCTCGCTTCTATCGAAAACATGAAAAGATGTGTCCTCCTCATACTCGACCTCCGGATTTGGGACCGGAGCGGCCATCTCTACGTCATGTGTTGCTGCTGCATCTGTCGTGTCACGCTCCATGAGAAATCTGCTGAGTCCGCTGTAATGAAAACCATGCGAAAACGACCAAGGGAAAAGAATACCAAGCAAAATCCAAAAGTAAAGCATGCGTGTAGATCAGATGTGAGTCAGAGGCACCGACGTCAGCTGAAAACCATGCACCTACGCAATGCTACAGCTACGCGCGCCGCCCACCCCAACTCGCAGCAAACTGCTCGGGCCGAGAAGCTTGATTGACGGCATTCTCGGACAGGTCGTCGATGGGTCGCAATTTGTTCTTTTGCCTGATGGAGAATCTGCGCACAGGTATCCACTTGGAGTCAAACATGTTCTGCAGTTGTTCCCACGTGTAGGGCCCATGCAACCAGCCTTTCTCATCGGCTTCAGCACAAGTGAGATCCCAGAGCTCCTGATCATCCGGGTGGCTCGCATCTCCCGACACCTTGCCCCACAGGGCTGGCTTCAAGAACTTCGCATGATCAAGCAACTCGTCCACGGACATCGAAGAGGGTTTCGGATCCACCTCGAAGATGCCTGTAACCTTGGCCTCACCCACAAGCTCAAAGCCGTTCTCGATGTCGTCGATTATCGTGGCATCAGGCCACTGCAAGTCTTCAGCCACACGTCGCAGGAGGGTCAAGTTCTTGCGTGCAACTATCTTCTCGACATCTGGGTGAAGCCTCGCGTGCAAGGAGGCCTCTGCTCCACGAAGTTCCTGAGACCACTTTTTCCATTTCGTCAAGGTGTCCAAGCGATGCCTCATGACAGCCAACGGCCCTTTGGTGAGAGTGAACGCAAGAATCTCGAGCATCTCATCCGGCACTGCCGAAGACAAGTCGAAAGGATGGGACAGAGTGACTGCTGTCCTGACGAACTCATCCTCGGTTCTGTAAACCCCAAAAGTAACCCTAAAGCCCGAACCTGAAGGACCCTCGCCCCCTTGCACAGGCACCACCTGAAGGATGCGGGCACCGACAGGCACCGATTGAAAAGCGGCCGTCAAGGAATTTTTGGCATCATACCTGAGAGCATCCATGGATGGAACCTGCAAAGTGACCCGATGCTTGTATTCAGGCATGAGCGGCGGCGCCTTGGAGACCTTGGGTTGGCGTTGCACTGCAATGGAAGACCGATGATTGGCCGACGGCTTGACGGCATCAGGAGACACAGCAAACCCTAGGGTCCCCGCGAAAACAACTATCTGGGCGGCGAACCGACTGCACAACAAACGCGGTCTGTCCCGCAGGGAAGTCACTGACCGGAAAGTTTTAGGAGGTTTCTGGCTTTCGTCACACGGCACAGCAAGGGCGCTTAAAGTCTGGACGTTAGTATGCAACAGCATCTGCTGGTGTTGCTCGCCACCATGGGCAAGCAGGTCGAACTTCACGACATGCGAGGCAGGCAGCGCCAAAGTCGCCCACAGCCGGCTGCTTAGCGGATTCAAGACTCCCCATCCGATATCAAGAGTGGCGAGCAACGCCAAGAAAGAGCTGAGTTCGGAAGCCACCTGGGCAAAACCTTCGGGAAGGTCGCCTGAGGAGGCGGCCACAGTGGGGGCGGCAAGCACAAAGACGACCCTCCTAGCGAGCACAACCTTAACTAAGAAATCCCAAGAGGCAGCCCTCCTAAGATCCAACGACACAACGCTGAGCAAAGCTCTCTGCTTCAGGTGCGGTTGCTCGATCGCGAGCACATCGAATCCGGCTGCCTTCAGGGAGGCCCCAAACTCGCCTGCATTGCAAAAGAGGTCAAGGCACAGCAGAGAGGCGGCTTGCAGTTGAGCCGGGAGGGCATCACAGGCTTCATCCACTTGAGAACTCCTGAGGTCATGGAAGGTACCCCTGACCTCGATCAAATCCGGACTGAAGTTGGGCGGCGTCTGGGGCGCAGGGAAATCAAGCTCAGCTAAGCGCGCCCTACAGTCCACGTCAAGCTCCTGAACCCTAGCAATACAAAATCCAACTATGACTACGCGTCGGCCGCTCCACGGCCGTGTAGCGTGCACATGGCTGCAAGCATAGAAGGCCTTCGGTCCGGAGGCAACATCGATCAAGATGCCGCGCTTCGTAACACCATCGACCTCACAAGGAAAAACGCCCTGAGCTGACTCGACCCAGACCTCTCCTTTCCGAAAATTGCTGAGTGGCACAAGAATGTTAGGGAAAGGAGAGTTGAAGCGGTCGACATGAGGCTCCGTCTTAAGGTCTGAAAACACACTCAGAGTAGAAAATTTCATTCCCGGGGCAGCGCGTTGCACCGCCTGAGCGAAAATCTTTGAAGCCGCCGGATGTTTGCTGCAGTTACTCCTGAGACCGAGCAGAGGCCCCTTCACGTAGGCACCAGTCGAGAAGGCCGCGGCTCCATCGTCACGAGTCTTGTTCCAAAGCGGCTCCTGAGGAAGCATGTCAAACAAACGAATCAACTCCTGGGCCGTGGGATCCCTGTCCAAAGACAGAAGCTCCTCGGCATAAGAGTCCGCATGAACCTTTGGATCGAGTGGGTTCGATCCCTGCTCTTCAAATGGCATTGCTTGGGCCCCTTCGGGCGCACTCAAAAGAGGCTCATCCCCTTCGGGATGGGCCTTAAGCACTTCCTGGATTGCTCGAGAATGGCCTTCGCCACTCCCAGACCCGGCCACCGACTCTTTCGCACTCGGGGCCAGGATCGCACTTGATAGTCAAGCGCCCGCCTGCTCGCCATCTTTCGGCTTCTTGGGACACTTGATAGCGGCGTGGTTCATGCCGCACTTGGGGACTGCACAGATGTGCAATCCCTTCTCACACTTATTGCCAGTCACCTTGTTCGGGCATGACCCCAGGTTAAAGGCATAGCCGATCGGGTGTCCTTTCGCGGTGTGCGAATTGCACCCACGAAGCTCGCTCGGCATGGCAACGAAGCGCTTCTTTCCTTTGCCATCTTTGCCCTTGCCTTTGCCTTTATACGGTGACTCCCGCAGTCGAGCAGGCTCACTGGGACCGTACGAAGACGAAGGGCCGCCCTGTAGCGGCTGCATCAACGACACCACCTCGTGCATGCAGCTGACTGAATCTATGATGCCATCGATCGGACGACCTTTGGCATCCGACTGGATGCCTGTGCGCGTATGGTCCTGAAGCTCCAGAAAGAGCCTCGAGTCTGCATTCTGCAACTGAGTGAAGGTGACTTGCTGGTAACCCGGCGGAGGTGGAGTCAGCCTCGCCTTCATCAACTTCTGATGCCACATGTCAAGCTTTGTGAAAGAGACAATGTTAGCTTGATCGAATGCAAGAGCACGCCGCTGCAGGGCCTGCAGAAGCATCACTTCAGTGGATGTATCGGCCACCTGATCTTTGGCCTTGTTTTCCACCTTAAGCTTACCACTCTCGCCGTCAATCGAAAGCTTCAGGTCTTTCTTACCGTCGCCTAGGAGCTCTTGTTCCCGCGACGTGCACTTAGACCAAGGCACATACTGAATCACATTGGCCTCGTACTGACCGACGCACAGGTCGACCAAGGCCTCTGATGGTTCCGAGGAACCTTTTATCGTGATGCCAGTCAACTGTGAACGCTGGCGCTCAATTCTCTCAGCCCTCTCGGGCTGACTCAAATGACGAACTGTCGGTTCCTCGACCCTTTCGACCTGCTGTCGCATCTCCGAAGTGACAATGGCATAAGCTTCATGAAATACTGCTCTGAAAGCTGCCTTCTGACTCATCTCTGGGTCCTTTCCAAGCATCGCCTTAAGGGCCTCGATCAACGGACCTTCGTCCGCCGCCCCCGGAGCAAAAGAGCTCACGAAGGCCAACTGCTTCAAACTCTTAACGTGCTTCAGGATGAGATCGCGCTCAGTCTGATCAAACCCCGCCTTCGAGAGACGCGACACCAGAACCGGCTCGGACTCTGAGTATGCGGAAGCCATGGCTCACTCCTTCAGCACGGGTCTACCTTCAAAGTAGCTCGAGCGACCCTCACTTGAAATCACAAGGCGGCATTTGCGACTCCGGGCCCTTGAGACCACTGCAATGCCGAGCACAGCGTTCCTTGTATTCCGTGCGCATATTCATCCCGCCTTCGCGGGCTCTCGCGATGAGAGGCTCACAAAACTTCGCATGGCGGCACTCCAGCCAGCCAGCCTACGATCCCTCACCTCGCCTCTGGAAAGCACTGCCGGCAGATCGGATGCAAAAACCTGGGTATCGCATTGCACTCCAAGTAAGACGATGAGATCTGCCTGCCACACTTAAAAGTTGTGCCCTCCTCAGAAGCGACTAAGTGTATGAAGCGGGTGGTGACATGCCGAAAAACCGCCTTGCCCTCCAGGTTTTCTCGAAGGCAACCGCTCGGCTCAAAATCGCCGACACTGTCCTCAATCACCTTCTCCTCCTCGAGAGTGTCCGGCTCCTCCTCGTCATCGCTCCTGTCGGAAGAAGAATCTGAACCGACCTCGGCCTTGTCATGAGCATCTCCCCTGGCAGCCAAGGACTCCGCAAACATGCCCGAGCGCGTGGCGTCCGGGAAGAAGCGCCTGTAAGCGACCGCAGAAACCATTTCCTCCAGCTCACGCAATGCAGGGGAGACGCTGTCCCTCGCGTAGATCACATCCGTGCCGGCGTTGGCACTAGAATGATATTATCCGAGTATCGACCTGATTTCCTTACTAGCTCCCCACTTGGACATCCAAGATAAAAGCGTAGCTTTGCAGGAGTGAGTGCCCACGGCCTTGACCAATGAGACATCCTCGCCTGCACGATAGAGAAGGTGGCGAAGCCACCGCGCTCCAGCCTACGCAGACATAGGCGCCTTCTGCCATTGGCCACCCTCGGTGGGGGACGGTAGCAGGGGCATGTCAGGCCCCCATGCGGGCCCCGCCCTGCCAGCCACCTCCATCCAAGCCATCGCCCAAGAATCCTGCTCAAGGCCCCATATCGGACTGACCATAGCAAGATATCGGGTTTTACGCTCCAGGTTGTGACTCGTTTTACTCCTGGTGACCCTCGCTTCAAGGTACCCACGCGGTCCGTCTTCACCTTGCACGATGTCTTTCGCCAGCTCACCAGAACACTGCATGTCCGAATAGCGGGCTCTTGCAAACACACAATACAAAAAGCACCCTGCCGCGTATCTATCGACATCCGTACGGACTTCAGGTATAAGTCCCAGCACAATCCGCTCCAAAGCCCGAATCTGTGAAGCCGTCAGCGGCGGCTTCTGTTGCAGCTTTCTCTTCTCCAAGTAGAGCTTCGAAACTGCGCCAGCCAGCCTGCTGCTAACACAATCGGCCGGGACCTTCGCCTCCAAGACATATTGCATGAAGCCAACGGAACTCATAAAGCTGGAGGCAAAGGTAGGCGCAGCCCCACTGCAGTATTCTTTGACGAAGCGATACATCTTCTGCTCAGACAAAGGGAAAGGCTGCTCTCTGATGCGCCAGCAGAATGCCATGTATCTCAGGACCGGGACAGCCCTGCTGTGAAGCGTACTGCTCGCCTTGAGTGAGAAAACATCTCCTAGAGACTCCTGCAGTGAGGCTGGCAATCCAGCTTCAGCATCTTCCGCCACTCTAGCACAGATCCCGAAGAAGTCGCCACCCTCTTTAGAAATCCGAAGCCACTTCATGACAGCCGCATGTCTGTTATCCGATTGTCTCTGAGTCCAGGAAGGCCCAACCTTCCGTGGCAGCTTGCCTCCAGTAGCAGTCAGATTTATAGCCGACGGGCCACTCGGAGCTTTCACAGGAGCAGCAGCCGTATGAGTAAGCACATTCCCAAGACGCCCGCTTCCCAAGAACGCTTTCGGCAATACACTCGGCACATTCACAATGCTTCTCTCCCATGGCTGCTTTGAGTTGCTCGTAGAATTCTGGTGCACAACATGAGCAAGATGCCCTTCGAATGCAGCATCAAACGTCCTCTTCTCTGCCATCACGAGAGAAGCTGCCCATGTGCCACTGAGGCGATACACCAGGGGTTCACGGGCCTGAAACCTGTTTCACACAGCTTGGCCCGGAGCCCGCGTTCTACACGACTCTCTTTTACCCCCCGTACAAACTTTGCTGCACGGAAGGTTCCCGCCCACCCACCCTATGTTTGAGCATGCGCGGAACAACAAGGATTCGTAAAAGTTCAAGTGGAATCTCATGACACACGAAGCGGTTTCGAAAAACTTCTTCAAAACTTTCGAAACCTACCAAAAAGGTTATAAAGCCTTATGGGACTAGTTTGTGATTTTTAGCGTCCCAAAAACGGCCTCACGCCTGCAAGCAAAACTGCGAATACCAAGACAAGCATGGTAAAGCAATCGTGAGAAAACAGCAAGTCATGCAGTCGATCCAGCAAGGCATGACAAGGGAAAGTGCGCATAAAAATTGTAAACAATTTTTCCAAACATGAAAACAATCAAATAAGAAAACATCCCCCTTCGGGAGAGTTTGTTCTTATGCAGAGCTATCAGCCGTGAATAAATCCTGAGCGAAGGTGGAAAGCCGCGTGCCATGGCTCCAACCTACGGCACCGCACTTGAGCAGGCCCAGCTTCCCAACATGTGGGTCTCTCAAACCAGACCCAGCTTCCCAATGGTGGGCATCGCAAGGGTCAAGAGAGAACTGCACTTCGGTCCAGCCCAGCTTCCCACCATGTGGGTCTCGCAAGGGCAGCACACTAGAACGCAATGCAACCGAGTACCGCCGGGTCATGGCCCCGCTGTCAAGCCAGGCCCAGCTTCCCAGCGTGGGCATCGCAAGGGTCAATGAATGACAGTGGCACTTAGGATGTACTCCTCAGGAAATGACGGGGCTCAGATCATTGCAAAATTGCCCACGCTCAACTTTCCGTGTTGATAGCCTTACGCCGTACGTGCAGCAGAGCAGGCCGTATCGGTCAGGTTGCCATTTGTGTGGCATACACATGGGCCCAGCTTCCCAGGAGTGGGCATCGCAAGGGCCAAGTCGAGAGACAGACCAGAGCCGCATATTAACTCTGCCCAGCTTCCCACCTGAGCGGGTGTCGCAAGGGCAAGGGCTAAACAGAGTCGGACTCACCCCGATTGGACGTGCTGAAGACCGGTAGCGGCGGTCGCAGCCGCGCAAGCGGGAGCTCGCACATTGGCTCTATGGAAAAGTACGGCACTCCCCACAGCGCAGGACACGCAAAGGACCAAGGTTGCGACTCAATAAGCGCAGATTGCAGGTCAGCAGTGCGTAGAAAGTCCGCCCCCACGTAAAGACGATGGACCGTCCAGTATGCGAGGCGGGACACTGAAGCAATCGCCACCACAGTCTCCAGTCCACTATAGCTGCCGTTTGATCGGAGTTGCAGCCATGGCCACGCTGCCGGAGCATCTTGCTGCACCGATAGTCCTATGGGCTTCTGTACAGTCGATACCGGTGCTCTTTGGAGCCCCGCCGTCAGCTGCTACCCGACAGGTACTCCGTGCCATTGGATCACAGGAGCGCAGGGCCGCTGTCAGCTATACGCGGAATATCGCCGCCGCGTCTCTGCCTACCTGGCACAGCTCAATTTCCATAGTTTCCAAACATCGACAGATTTCCAAGTGGCTGTGCGACTTGGTATTCAGATACGCACTACTATTGTAGCCGAATGGCCAGGGCAGGGCAGAAGCGATGAGCCTAACAGCGACCGAACAGCCGGCCATGTGTCCGTCACTCCGGGCATTTCACCATAATGCCAGGCGGACGTGCGGAGCACGGCAAGCTCCCAGAGAACCCTGCGAAAGTATGCGGGGTCATCCATATGTGTGTCATTAAGGGTGTATAAGAACGTCCACTCGCCCGCATCCTGGCGCTTTTTCAGTTGCTGTCGGTTGTAGAAGTAGGTATGCGATCCCTTGTGGTAATTGGGCACCAGCCGGAAGCCCAAGAACTGATATCCTAGACCGCCCGCAAGTCCTCCCAGGGCTACGAACTGCCTAGCAGCCGCAACCCAGTCATCAATACGGAGATTCTGGCCAAGGGTGTGTGGCGGATAGTCCATGCGGAGGCCCATGGGCACATCGGCGAAGTTTCGTCTAATGACCTCCGCATGCCGGCCAGTCACGGTATGACTCCCCAGTAAGTAAAAGCGTTCGGGGTAGTACATAGTGATCCGTTTCTGTCCAGGTAGCCAAACCGCCAGAGCTGTGCGCAGGTCGTAGCCATCCTGCTGTGTCCACTGTCGGACTCTGGCCAATGCACTGGACAGCAGGCCGGCAGGCTGCAGACTAAGCTCTGCCGCCGGTCGGAGACCCAGGGCCTCCTCCGAAAGCGGGAGGTATATGCGAAAACGACCCTGATAGATGGACGGGTGAGTAAAGATGTCCGGGTTCACATGGGGGTGGTGAAGTGCAACAACTCCATTCTCCCAGCTATGCCGTATTCGAGCCCCAATCTGCAATTGTAGCGGACAGATGTCACCCGCCGAAAATGTGGCCGCGAGACGTACCCCAAGCTGACCCTGACGGCCTTCCTCCGCGGCTTGCTCGTCGTTGTCACGGAATGCCTCAATCACCTCTAAGTGCGGGTAAGCCTGCGGCTGATCGACGAGACGGCGTACCACAAACAGCAGCACCTGGATTGGTAGCAGGGCACTGCAATATTGCAGTGGGGAAATGCGTCTACCGGGGCCGCCCAGGGCCATGACGATAAAGCTGCCATCCCGGGCCATGGTAGTGTCCAGCGTAGCCTGATCTGCATGCTGCCACTGAGCGACAATCTCATCAACCAGTAGCCACCACACTTGAGGTCGTGCGAGTTCGCGCCAACACAAGTCATATGCCTTATATCTTCCGCCAAGTGTTGAAGAGGCTCGCACAACTCAGCTAAGGCAGCACTGATGGCAATCAGTGGATTGACGCAGAGCCGCCAGGCCTCCTCCTCAGAGCACCATCGCAGCCGCATGGCTCTGTCCGCGAAACTACAAATGGCAAAGCCGAACTGATCGACGTTTACCCGGAGCGACCCTGCGGTCAAAGACATCGGGAGTGACAGGAGCGTATCGCAATCCACCTGTGAGGGCAGTATGTAGCGCAAGTGATCGACATGTGCCCCTGCCGTTGTCCCCGGCGGCGGAGGAGCACCCGCCCTTTCTCGCCACTCTTGCAGGATGGCCCGTTGACCCTTTGTGTAGAAGGGTCGTCGGTGGCCGCAACGTTACTAGTGAGTCCTGTCAGATCAGGGCGATGGCGTGTGGGCTGTGCATCCACCAAAGCATTCAATCCTTCTGCCAGTCGGTGGGCTGGAAAACGCGGGGGCAGCCCACGCCATAGAGCTCGTCCGCAAACTGTGGGTCCTCCTGGACACCCGCGCCAGCACTGACGGCGCGTTGAAGGGTAGCCTGCCCCCACTTGTCATACCCAGCGGCCGCTAGTCCACAGGAGAGAGTGCCAGCATCACTAAACCGGAAAGTGGCCAAATCATAGGTGGATCCCACCAGTGCGTGCAACCTATACCGTAGGTAGGTCATGAACTCTTGCGTGGTGTGGTCAGTGGCAATGTGAGCCAAATAGTAGCTGCCCGGGAGTGAGGCCACCGCCCACATCGGATCATGTGAGTCAATAGTTTGTTCCGTGGAGTCAGGCGAACGCTGCGGGCATGCGGGTCGGCAAAGGCTGCGTACAGCCGAGTAGGGGGGCGGAGTCACCGCCCCTGCCAATCCCGCAATCCGTACAGTTGGAGGCGTTGACCTTCGTCGTCCACATCTATAAGTCACTGCGAGGGGATCGGTGATATCGAAGAGGGGGTAGAAGTACGTGGACTCCTGGGGCCGGCCATGTCTACCCGTCAGGGCCTGTTCGGGCCCACGCAGGTGTAGTGGAGCTCTGTGGCGGGCACCTGTTTCGTCAAAGACAACGATCAAAAGGGGGGGAGGCCTTTGCGAGTGCTGGTGTCTTGCCACTGTATCAGGGAGCCCTGTAGCCGCGCGTGCATGCGGGCCACAGTAAGAAGGCCAGATGCACGCGCAGGCGAAACCACCAAGAGCGGTCCTGTGCCACGGGTGAGCGCCGCTGTGAGCCTTTGATGCGCCGCCTCGCCGCATTCAGTGAAGTCGTCCGCCCTATCAACCATGCACAGATTAACTGCGCCTGTAGAGCCAGCACAAGCGGTAGCAGAGAAGAGGTCTATGAAGGGACCTAGCTCCGCATGCCTGCGGCCGAAGAATCTCATCACCGCGCGAGCCTGCCGAACCGCAGTAATCTCAGCTGGCCTTGGCAGCTCAGGATCCTGTTCGCAGGCCCAGTCTTCCAACAGCTTACCTTGCTGCCCATCATTGGATTGGGGTGAAGCTGCTCATGCTGGTCCGTCAGCCCCGCATTGCTCAGGCCCACAAAGGTTTAGAAATTATGGAGCAATCGATTGGAAGGGTCTGACTAGCACCAATCGCTGGCCTCCGTAAGCACGGATTCGGTGTCCCTGCGTGATGTAGTGTAGAGGTGAGTGAGGACCACCAACAGGAGGTCCCGCAAATCTTCCGGGCGCCATTGCCTGCCTCTTGCCTCACTCGAGGATTTCCAGGAAGTGTATCGCCCCCGTGGCGGCAAGGTTGGCCATGTACGTGCAGTTGCACTTTGTTCCAGTAAGAACACCAAGCCAAGACAACAATAAAGGGTGTAGAATGTTACCAGTCTGCAGAAGGCTTGCATGTCCAACTTGACAGGCAAAGAAGTTCGGTCTCCACAGACATGGGTCGAAGTGAACTCCAGGAAGTAAAGAGAAGTTGCTTTCGTCGCGGTCACAGTGGCGGACGGGATGGGAAGTGCGAAGCGACGTCGCGGAGGTCTACCTCGAGCGGCCAACATCCGCGGGCGTGCCTTCTGTAAGCTCATCTTGAGGACCCCGATGGACAGCGCATAGACATCCTTGTTGCACGAGGCACAAACCGTACTTCCCTCAACATTCTGGGGTGCCCTGGAGCCTCTAAAACGTTCTCCCT